TAATATTTTGAAAGAAATATGCATTTCTGGTAAAACAAAAAAAATAGGCTAATCATGAATATTATCTTATTTAGAATGATTAACACTCAACTTCAGAAACAAACTGAAGAACAGCATGGTTAGATGCTGTCTAGAACCCCACTACAGCCAGAAGCAATTCTTCCCTTRTGCAGACCAGAACTTCTATACACATTGGTTAGTATATCAGGCAGCCTGTAGTCTCTTGAATATAATGAGACCAACACTCTAGAAATAGAAAACTTACAGGAAAAAAGCATAGGTGAAATCAKAAAGTCCTTAGAAGTGAAAACTTTCTTGAATTTGCCTATGAAAGAGATTACATATAATCACCACAATCTAAAACAGTGCTGTTCAAATATGTAATTTCCTTAGTTTCAACTTTTAAAACAGGTAAAAGTAAATAAGTAACATTAATCTAGTAATACATTTTATTTGGCCATATTTGTGTGTGTGTATATATATATATATATATATATAAAACCCAATATAATTTCAACATGTAGTCACAAAATTATGAATGAGCTTAGATCCTTTTCCCCTCAATCTAAATCTTCAAAATCTCATGTGTACTTTACACTTCTAATACATTTCAATTCGAAGTAGGAACATTTCCAGTCTTCAATAGTCGTATGTGGCAACCACAATGGACAGCATAGGTCTAAAAAATATTAATGACAATAACAGTAATTCATAAGGTTCTYTGGAGGATCTGGAACAAGGTCTCTACTTTAGTGCTGCTAGAAATATGTGGTTGCTCTACTGCTTTACCACTCCTCCCCCCAGGAAATAAAAAACTGAGTATTTAAGAACATATGTCTAGGGGCTGGGGTTGTGGCTCAGTGGTAGAATGCTTGCCTAGCATGCATGAGGCATTGGGTTCAATCCCCGGCACCACATAATAATAGAAACAAATAAAATAAAGGTATTGTGTCCATCTACAACTAAAAAAAAGAATATATGTCTGACCACTGAAATAAAAAAAGCATATGTTCAAAGAACTATGTTCTTAAACATTCATTCTTGAGGTTAAAATAGTCGTTATTCATTACCTGGGAGGGAGACAAAGTATAATAATTCCAAACTGATGTTGAATTCAACTCATTCAATTTTATTGAACCAGCATTTGGTGGGTGAATACTTACAAGGACCCAGCTCCTCCTTGAGTGCAAGGATATAGAGACAAGTAATATACAGTCCTTGTCCTAAGATATTTATAGTCTAGTCTAGTAAATGAGACCTCTCCACTTAATGTGCTATACAGAAACACAAGCTCACTTTTAATGGCATACRGGAGCACTAATAAACATCTAACACRAGTCACACATGCAAGACACATACATACTTTAAAATTTTCTAGTAACTATATTTTATAAAAAGAAAAGGAAACATAAAATTATAACAAGATATTTTACATTTCCATACTGTTTTTAAAACCCAATGTTTATTTTATACTTAAAGATGATCTCAATTTGAATTAACCACATTGCAAGTGTACCAGATGGCACTGTTATTCAGAATAGACCTTTTTTTTTTTTTTTAACTAAAAAGATTTTGGCAGTTATAGGTACAGGGCAAAGAAAATAGCAGGAGGGAGGATTGAACATATTTACAGGTTAAAAGAAAAGAGAAACAACAAATATTCTAATGGTAATTAACAGAGAGCAGATGAAAGAATAGGATCAAAAGCAAAAGGGGAATGACTTACTTGTAGAAGAGAAGGACCATACCTTCCTTTGTGACAGGTGGACAAGGGACGAATTAAACATAGGTATAAACGAGTATGGTGAATGTGAGGRGCAAAAGAACAGAAAGTGAGGGATTTTTCTTTAAGAGCTCCCATTTTTCCCAGTGAAGCAAAAACAATCTTATCAGACTCCTTCCAATATAAATCTAAAGGGACTACATTTATGAAAAAAGTGGAGAAACAGTTATCCTAATATGACATATTAAACTGTGCTTTTGCATTGTTAGTTATTTTCTAGTTTTCTTCTAGTCAATCTTGAATTTTGTCACTTTATGTCTAAACCCAGAAATAACAGAGTTCATTCTTTTATTCACATGTTCATCATTTATTCAGCAAACACATACTCAATGCCTATAGTACGACAAATGTAAGGTACTAAGCAGAGTAAGGTCCTCACTGATTTCCATGTGTACCTCCRGTGTTTAGTGCATTAGACTACCTACACACACTAAGTATTATGAATACATAGTGTTATACTCCCCTATAAAGAAATATTATGTGTCAACTAAAATAAATGTTGACAAAAACTTTCATTTAAAAGTCTACATCAGAGCTTTCCAATAGAATTTTCTGATAATGAAAATATTCTGCTCTGAACTGACTGATATAGTGGCCAATAGTTACATGAATTCACATCTTAATTTTAACATCCACATGTGGTCAATAGCTACCATACATCTCTAAATAGTAGAATTCAGTTGGTAGCTAATGGTATTGCCATTATTACAATCAAGGTCCTGTCAACTGTAAGAGGAGTTATACACTATGCTACTGAAAATGTGTATACTATATGAATAATATAAACTTTACCAGAAAAACACAGTGAGAAAATTTTTTAGCCTAAAATAATTTGAATATTGTGAACCAAAAACAGAGAACAAAAGAGAAAGAAAAAGGAATTAAAAAAAAAAAGTCTTTTCCTTCTCTACTTTCCCAAGGAAAATACTAACTTTATATCAACCTTTGATTTTTCCATGATGTCAAATATTAAAAATATTTTGTATTTAGAAGTAACTGGAGCATAGGAGTTGTTTCTATAATTTTTTTTAAGTGAGACAGTATAAGTAGCTGAAAATCAGGATTCATATAATGAATAAAGTGTGCTTGTAACTCCTTGTGATTTTTAATTTCCCCAAATTTGTTTCATTTTTTTAAACTTTAAAATAAACCTAACACTAAAGTACATGGTGACTCAACCCATTGAGCTAATGGAAGTATAACCTAGACTTTGAATTGAACAATTCTTGCTTGATGTAGTAACTAATTCTAGTTATTACTGAATAGCTAGAACAGCTGTTTGTGACTGGGATAGTAAAATATACTTTCATTACTCTGTGTATTCACTGCCTTGAATGTATAATTTAAGTGACTACACAAACTTAATCACAGATACAAAGCCCAACACTGGCACAGGTCTGATTACATACTTAGAAGATCTGATAACTTAAAAGTAAAACCAGTAAGGTGAGCAACTAAATGTCAGTGATAGCATTTTTTTTTTAAATGCACAGCAACTTGTTCAACTTGTTAACCATTCCAGTAAGACAGCTGCCTTATAAATTAACCACAGAACTTCTGATTCTTCCTTTTAGTTGTTTTCATTTGAAGCCATTTTTTCCAAACGTTACCAGATTTTCTATCTTAAAGATGAGCATGGTTATAAAACCAGGATTATTTTCAGGCTAACAAAAAATTCCTAACGCTGAAAAATCTACTAGTAAAAGCATTAAGAGAATCACTTTAGAACAATCTTCCTGCCATACAAACTCATCATCAGGTAAATGATTTTAAATCAAACCTCATATACATGAACACTTGGCAAATCAAAAGCACCGAGATCACATCTGTAATAATTAACTACTAGAGTCAAATTACTGTGCTACAGCTTACTGCAACAAAGGCAAAGAATTATAGCAATATGCTATTATAATGACATCATTAGGTTCGTTTCCTAATAAAGCATATCATCTGGAGTACCTGAATTTATAGCTAGCTAAAAATAAAGAGCCAACATTTGTATGAGGGAGTGAGTGGCGGCAGTTCTTAGTTTTATTTATAAGCTTTTTTTTTTTTTTGAGAATGATACCCATTGAAAATGATGCAACAGAAGGTTGACTAAAAAACACCATACTTAGTCTTAACATAAAAATGTTGTTCTAGAACAGGGAAAACAAGATGTTTTAGTCCCGCAAAAACAGTTTCTGCTTCATTAAGGTTTACCACTGCCTTTAAAACTAGTAAACAATAACAATGAAATGTAGAAGCATTTAATCAGTGAGATTTAGACTAAACAGTAGCAAGCCTCATCACACAGATAAGGTATTAGGTATTAAGATTCTTCAGCCTGAAGTAATTTCTGTCCTAATTGTCACCGTTGCCTTAGTAGTGTATTTTTTGGACTGCAGTTGCCAGAAGACAGGAAAGATTTTTCTGGGAAATAAATTTCTGGGAATAAATTCTGGGAAAGGTGGTGCTTTTTAAAAGATGCCTAAAGTCACCCTTTCCTAAGATTTCTTTCTTTCTTTTTTCTTTTCCTCCAGATGCTCTAGTAATACTGAAAGTTAAATACACCTTTCGTTCAATCGGATTAAAAAAAAAAAAAAAAAGGTATGGTTTAAAAGTTTCGCTTGGGGTGGGGGGAGGATAAGGTAGGACGAAAACTAGTTCTTCATAACTACCGTACATCTTTCTCGAAACTAGATGGGGAATTGGAATACTCTTTCCTTCATTTAGGCCTTGGGTAAAAATTTCTTTCGTCCAGAGGTAGGAGATAGGTATCCTCCTCCTTGTCAATCAACGCAACAGTAAGTAAATCCTGACCCCCGGTGCCAAGCGGGGGCTGAAGGCAAGTCCTTCCCGGCTCTTCACCCAAACCTGTTCTACATTGCTACAGGCAAGACACCCAAGCCCCTTTCCTCTCCCCAAGACCACCTCGCGTCCGGCGCCCTAGCAGTCTCCTTAGGGGGCACCCCCACTCCGCTGGAGACCCTCATCTTCTGACCGCGACCGCTCAGGAGTCGACCGAAGAAGGAAGTATCGGAGAAGCGCCGGCAGGAAGCGGCTGCCTCCCTCCGCGCAGCGCCAGCCTCTGCGGCCCCGGCAGCGCGGGGCTTCTCCGGCCCGGGCCCCGCGCCCGCCTCCGCCGCGGCCTATCTCCGCGCCGCGGGCCCAGTCCCGCCACCCGGGGCCGAGAGGCCACGCGTGGGCGGGTGCCCGAGGGGCGGGGGACACCTACCAGCTGCTGCCGGACCCAGCGCCACATGCCCTCGCCGACGCCGTCGCGGCCCCGCGGGGCGCTGGAGCCCAGGGGCTGCAGGTGGAGGCCGACTAGCCAGAGGGGGAGCAGACGAGCCCCTCGGGCTGAAGTTCCGCTCGCCGCAGCCACCTCACTCCTCGCGCCGGGTCCCCATCCCGCGGCGCGGGCCCGGAGCTCCTACAGGCGCGGCCCCGGCGCCGCCCCCGCCCGGCTCTGCTGAGCCAGCCACCGCGCCGCAGCCACCTTCATTATTGACCGTTGTCACCCGAAGCACCCCCCACAACCCCACCCCCGCCCTGCCCGGCCCCCCGGCCCCGCCCGGCCCCGCCCCCGGCGCTCCGGCCCGCCCCCGGACGTGACGAAAGGGGGTGCGCGGAGCACKGGGGGCCGGCTGCTCCCCGCCACACCTCGGAGCTGGGGGTCGGCAGTGCGGTCGGGGGCGAACGCGATCGCGGAGGGGAACAGGGCTCTCCGCACGGTGTATGCGTCCTGCCGCGGTCTGCTTTTCTCGGGCTCGAGTTAAGTCGCTCTGTAAGTCTGTCTCGAGTCCGCAGCTAGTGGCCCACTCCGCTGTCTCTGCCTCCTGTTGCAGGTCKGTTTCTGGCTCTCTGCCCTCTTGGGTCCACGCGTCCCCCAGCTCATACGCGCAATCTGGAGTTTATGTGACTGAAGATTAATCCTCAGAGGTTCCTGTAGTGATTCGATTAAATTGTCCAAGGCTCTGTCAACACAACTCTTCCCACTTTAGCAAATAACTGAGATGGGACTAGTGGGTTTTAAAGGGTTGCAGTTCCCCAGTGCCTGGTCCAGCCGGCATCAGTGTGTATGGGAGAATGGGCGAGATATTCTTTCTTGAGGTGCTAAATGGGACAGGTTAGGAGAAAAATGATTTCAATGGAGAAGTAGTTTGCTTTTGACCGCCAAAACCCTGCAGTCAGAAAAACCCCAGAAGTATCTTGACTTACTGGGTAAATCTAAGTGTGTGGATGCCAAGGTAACAAGGCTTTCACTTTGAAGGTCTGACTTTATTCGAAAGCAGCCCCATGTACCTCTTGTGTTATGCATCTGTATGCTGTATTCTTTTTTTTTTTTTTTTTGGAGAGAGTGAGAGAGGAGAGAGAGAGAATTTTTAATATTTATTTTTTAGTTCTCGGCGGACACAACATCTTTGTTGGTATGTGGCGCTGAGGATCGAACCCGGGCCGCACGCATGCCAGGCGAGCGCGCTACCATCCCCAGCCACATCCCCAGCCCTATGCTGTATTCTTACTGATTGAAAGCACACTTCACCAACAGATGGTCGTTTATGGTTTGAAAAAAAAATCAAGCAAAAACAAATCTAAATCTAGATTAGCATGACTAGGCAAGCCATTGCATATGTATACTCATTTTTTTAGTTTCAGTAGGCAATCCTTATTATATAATGCTTATTCAGCTCTACAAATAGAAGCTTCATTGCAGGATATTTATGGTCTATGAAACTAGCAGTGGAATTCTATATTATAAATCATTCAATTTCAAAAAATAGCAAGATATTTAAAGAGAAAAAGTAGTCTTACTCTTGTTCTTAGGACTGAACCTACTTTATTACCCTAAAATGAAGTTCCAGGTGCATTTATTTATTTGTTATGTATAAAACATTACTGCCATTCACAGAGTACTGTATTCCGGGACCTTTATCAAGCTCTATGTGCATGCTCTAATTTGAACACCACCAATCTTTTGAAGTAAGTGTTATACCAATAGTGTGGATGCAGAAATGAAGACTCATGTTAAGTAACTTGGTGAAGCAGATTCTGGATTGTCAGGCAACAGAGTGCATGCTCAGAGATGACCATCCTACTTGTATTCATTTACTTACAAGTGCTTTGATTATATTAGGCCTGGAAACTTTTATTTATATGCCACTAAAAATAGTCTTGATCAGAATTTCTTGAACCACTAGTGGAAAATGTCCCTCCAGAGGACATTTTATGTATCATTGTTTGTGTCCCAAATTTTGAGAGATAGCAGTTGGGGGTGTATGGGGAGATGATTCTAAGTGCTATGGTGGAAGGTGGTAGAAAGTGACCTCAAGATAATTATGTAAAGAGCCAGGCGCAGTGCAACACACCTGTAATCCTAGTAACTCAGGAGGCTGAGGCAGTAGGATTGCAAGACCATAGCTAGCCTCAGCAATTTAGTGAGGCCTCAAATAACTTAGTGAGACCCTGTCTCAAAATAAAGTATAAAAATGCTTTGGGGAGATGGCTCAGTGATTAGACACCCCTGGGTTGAATCCCTTATATCAAATAATAATAATAATAATGTAAAGATCATGACTGAAGCTCAACTATAAAGAAAAGAATGAGTAGTCCAAGCAGTATTTCTTTCTAAGCATTTCTTTAAAGAAGAGTATTGTATATCTCTTATTAATCAGGACCATAATAAAATAGCAGAGTGTTTATGCTATAGTTATAACCCCTTAGTGATTGTGAAATTCATTTAGTGTGTCATGATGGGTGTTTTAAAAAATAAAACATTAGAAAACATCAGAATACATTGCCCAATGTAAGTAATGTGTATTGTTTTGTGAAATTTTGGGTTTATTTATGTATGTATGTGTATGGATGCACATCAAGTAACAATATAAAAAGAATTTCTTCGGTTGCTATTGGAAAAGCTCGAAATACATTGAGATAGGAAAATACAGAACTTAAGAAGCCAGACGCCAGCTGTAAAAGAAAGAAAAAAAAATGTGTTTGGAGTCAGTGATAACTCATTTATTCCACAATAATTTCTTACATGTTTTGAGCATCAAATGTATTTATAACAACTGCCTAAAACTGGAAGGGGACAAATTAGGCCCTTTGCTCTGGGTGCAGTTTATAATCTAGTAGGAAAGAGAATTTGGAATGGGGAACCATTTAACAATTCAAGATAGAAAGGGATTAAGGCCTAAAAATTTATATTTTTAGGCCTTAATTTATATCAATTTTCTGAAATTAGTGATTATTATACTGATATGGACAATACAATTGGAGAAGCCTTCAGAAGAAAAGAGACTGAGTTTATTATTTATGTATTTTTGTGGTCTTATGGAGCAAAACTAGGCAGACACTCAGCCACTGAGCTGCATCTCCAGCCACAGAGCTGAACTTTTGAAATAGGAGGATGGAGGAGAGAGAGAGGCTTTCTTACTAGAAGAACTATAGGAGCAAATACTTGAGTCAGGAAAACTCCAGATGTTTGAGGTAGAATAACTAATTTGGAATAGTAAGAAGTGGGGCTGGATAAGTAGGGAGAGGCACAATAGGGACAGAATTTCTGGCTAGTGATAAAGAGTATAGGAAATTGGCAGTTCCAGGAGTTTTCTAACCAGAAAAATGGTAGAAATACTTATCAGAGTATTGATGCTTTGAGATAGGATGAGGGGAAAAACAGAAACAAAAATGGTCAGGTAGGAAACTTGCTAGAGTGAAGAATTGAGTTGAAAAATGCTGGACTGGCAAAGGGCCAGAAGTAAAGCATTTTATAGGAAATGATGCCATGGTGTCAAGGAAACCTGAAACTTAAAAGTCATTCCAAGTGAGGTGACAGACACTCAAAGACAATAATTTACCAACGTTGTGTGACAGCCACTGAATTAATGGCAAATATGATTCATTCTGTAGAGTAAACTTGTTAATATAATTCTGTGCTAGTTTTGCTTGTGAGACACGTTCCTTCCCGGGGGAAAAAACTGTCTCCTAGCTTGGCGTAATAGACATTCGCAGGTATAACAGACAAAACAAAGAGACATTTTTCTTGATCAGAATTTCTTGAACCACTAATGGAAAATGCATACTGTGAGCTTATTGAAGACAGGATTTCTGGCTCATTAATTTTGATACTCATGGTGTCTAAAGTGTTTGTTAAATGAATTAAGGCCAATGACTGAGTAGTTAGAGAAAAATATCTAGGCCCAGAATACCAAGGCAATATAGAGCAAAGCATCCTGAATGATTGTATTAGATCCCAAACTATGTGATAGGACCAGTGGTCTCCATCCTCAAGTCAAGGGCACTCAGTGTCAGTCTGCATGGAGGACCCTGAGCCTTGCTAGTTTGTTGCCTTAATTACTTCTATAGCAGTGGAGCTATCAGATGGGTCCCCAAATCTGCTTTATCTCATTTTTTTAAAAAAATAGCTACTTTCTACTTCTTCAAAATCATAAATCTAATAGTAAATCTGTTCCACTTAAAAAGCATCCCAGGAGTTCCAGACCAGATCAGTCTTCAGACAAAGGAGAAATAAATAAATAAATAAACTTCTAGAACTAAACATCATCATATATTTTAGTATCTCTTGTGAAGAATTGCATTAGGACAAACCCTGAAAATTCCTTAAACAGATATCAGTTGTGTGCTAAGTTACATGAACTCAGTTACTTACACAGAACTGAAAAGCAAAACCACTGTGAGAGTTAGAATCCATAAAAATGATCTCTTTCTTGAAAGATGAAAAAGTATATAAAACATAAATATGTTCTGCACCTCCCTTGTTTCTGATTTTTTTAAGGTGCCCTTTAATAACTTGATATTTCCTTTGGATGTGCAATCTGTGGCATTCCATCACATYGAAAATGCATGAATTTAGTTATATGTATTTTTGACATTGAGAGAAAAAGGTTAAATAGACAGATGGCCTGGATTGACAGAAATATTGATGACTTCAGGTGGGCTATAATAAAACTGAAATGGTTAACTCATATTGTTAGAAACTATGATGTAGTTGGGCATAGTGCCTCATACCTGTAATCCCAGTGACTTGGGAACTCTAGACAGAATCAAAAGTTCAAGGCCAGCCTTACTATGAACTTAGTAAGACCCTAAGCAATTTAGTGAGACCTTGCCCCCAAATAAAAAATAAAAAAGCACTGGGGGTGTAGCTCAGTGATAAAGGACCCTTTCGTACAATCCCCAGAACCACAAAACAGAACTACTATGTTTTGGCAGTCTCCAATACTTACCCAACTTTGAGTTACTTATACTACATAATAGAGCAAATTATTTAGCCATCTAGAAGCATTAGTTTTGTAATACTTTGTCTTAAAGCCATCAATAGAAGCTTTCATGCTCAAAGTTAGATATTCTGAGGGTTTTTTTTTTTTTTGGATGATTAAAATAACTGCATTAGATAGGTGTTTGTTAACAGTTGKGTCATAGCTTTTCTAGGCAAAAACATTCTTAGTTGTGTTCACTGGCAAAACCTTTGGGGTCACATTGCCCTTGTCTGTATTAGAATGGATCCAAGATTGTTTTCTGAGGAAAATCTTGGCCTAGCCCACAAATATTTTGTCTATTTCCTTAACTTTTATAAAACATTAACCCTAGTTCTGATGGCTGCTTGTGCAAATTTTTGAAATAATAGCTCTAAATTGCTACCACTACTCTCTGCTTTCTAGACATGATCAGACATGCTCAGTTGTGAGAAGTCATGTTTATGCAGAATTTCCTGAAAACTATGCTCTTTGAAGCCATCTAAATTTTATTTTCAGATTTAAGAAAAAC